GGCTGGCTCATCAGCCCTAGAGGTCCCAGCCTCTTTTGTATACAATAGGTTTCTCTTCAAGTGTGCTTGTTATCACTAGGGATGAAGCAGACATTATTGCATTTAGAAGACAGATTTTTTTTCCCCAGAAAGAAGTCCAAACAATGGGCCTAGAGAAGGCTCTTCTTATTCCAGTTCTACATGTCAGAGTCAGACTGCCTGGGTGAATACACACAAAATCTTAGCACAGCCAAATAACACCAGGAACATACTTTGTAATACTAATAGATGCTTTTCCTCCTCCTATTTCCCTCTACTTTCTGACCCTCTTTATCACCAGTACTTATACCTCTTTCCCATATCAATTTCTATTTGTTATTTTTGGTACACTGCTCCAGGAAAACAAGTCTACTACAGACACCTGAGGACAGAAATAATTTAGATTTAGGACAAATGTGTGAATTAATGTCTCCAAGATCAGAAAATGGACTTTGGGCTAGGAAAGAAGAGGGAAAGCCAGGAAAGCTTAGGGGTTGATCCCCTACCTCCATGTCCTCAGCTTTGCAGTGGAAGGAGGTAAGTAATCCCTAGCATCACTAGACTGGTTTGAGGGGGTCCATGACGCAATGGCAAGATGCAGCTAATGGTATGCCTGGGCAAGCAAGGATGTTTCTGGTGGCTCAGAGAAGCTGAAAGGTTCTCTACGTGCCTGAGAAGAGCTCAAATGAGCTGACAGAGCCAGAACAAAGGGGCCTTGCAAGTGGAAGCAAGGGATGATGTAGCAATCACTTGGACCATCAGCTGTAGAAAGATGGACATATCAGGTGATGCCAGCAAGCCAGAAGACCAAATCCTTCTTTCACTGCATCCACCCTACCCTAGCATTAGTCCAGAGATTTGGACAAGACTCTGATGAAAACTAGAGGATCTGAAAATCCTGAAAAAATTAGGCTTATATTAAAATCAAGGTAAGATACAGAACTATAACAACTTTTATACATAAACAATAAAAATTACTTATCAAGCAGAAAGCCCATCAGACTTTTGACCTTTCTATTTTTTTCCCTCTCTCTCTCTCTCATCCATTTGAGCCAACTGAAAATATCAACCTTAGACCTAATTTAAAGCTTCTCCTTCCTTCTCAGATCTGGCATGATTTTTGGCTTCAAATCTTGAAGCTGGACAAGGGTCAGGGCCTGCGTTCTCCTCCTTCCTCTTCTACTCCTCCTCCTCTTCCCTGTTTGCTCTTGGCTCCTCTAAAAGCAGAGTGAAGTCTAGGTAAAATCTCTTTAATGGTGCTATTTGTGGTTCTCTCCTACTGGTTCATACTCTCTGGAACACTGGATCTTTATGGACACTTTATCGATTTTTCTATAAGCTTCTCTTCCTTCCCCTGCCTAGTACCTTCATCTATAGCACCCTAATAATGTGAGTTATGTGTTCTTTGGCTTATTTCTTGTAACTTATCCAGGGGTCTTCTATGATTTTAAAAGATAGGATTCCTCGCCCCAAAAGATGATCTTCCTGGGGTGAAGGGGCTTTGCTTCCCTTCCTGGCATCAATTTCACTACTGGGAATGCTATATATCTTGCTATACCAAATATTGTCTTATCTGCCAATCAGCCTCCTGCCTTTAGAATTCTCTAAGCAGGAAGCTGACATAATTCTCCATGTTTAGGTCAGCCTTAAAAGTTCAAGTTTTCCCAAGCATTCTTTATCAAATTCTACCTAGGGCACCGAGGTGGTGTCATGAATTTCTGCAGTTTTATAGGAATTTAATGCCAGTCTTCTTCTGGTAAGGAATCCTTCCTCATCAGCTTAGCTGGGTGAGGAAGGAAAGGGAAATATCAAGCTGACACCTGAAGACCCAGAAGAATTAATCCCATCAATCAGTGAATTTCTGTCTTTCTTACTAGAGTGGGCTGGGCTGTGATGGTGAGAATCCAAAGAAAAGTTTGGCACTTCTTACCAAACTTTGGAGACAGGGTGCTCTTGGAATGCCCTCCTTAGTATGTGGGGGTATTTGTACCCTGTTGTCCTCAGCTTTAGGGCTTTAGCCAAAGTTTTGAGTCAAATGGAAATATCCTATTCTACATCTGGTTATTCACATCAATTCAACATCACTCTGCTATATGAAGAAAAGTTTTTTTTTATCTTTAATAACTACCATTTACCAAATGCTTATGAAATACATCAAGAGCTTTACATACTGAATGTATTAATTGTTTACAATACTCATGAGATATGAGAAAAACTGTAACCCAGAGGTCACATATCTAGTGGCTGAATTAGAACTTGAATCTATATCTGTTTCCAAAACTCAATCTGTACATATATAATGATATACTTACTGTCTAGTGCAATTGTCCCCAACTTATGAGCTACAGAATTGGTGTGGAGTGTAGTTTCACAAGGGATTGAAATATCCTTATGCTCATCAACTATTGTGAATTCAATAAATAATGTGTATACCACTATTTCTTATAATCAATCCAGTTGAACACATAATGAGTTCTATTTTTGTGTCAGATAATATTCAAGGTGTTAGGGATATAGCATATAAACCAAACTAAAATCCCTTTCTTCATGAAAATACAAATTCATTGAAATCATACTGAAATTATATTTATTGCATTATGCATTTTACCAGTTAAGTGAAACTAAATGTGTAACTCTTAGCAAGTGAAGGCTCAGGAAGAATTTAGCTATTTGAAATGAGTCTTCATATTTGGAATGCACTGATACTATTTAACTCTCCTATGGACAGGATCCACTAGATAAGGGAAGAGTTTGCAGTCCCGTTCTGTCTAGGACAATATCTGGGTCATAGAGAAAATATTGGGCAATCTCATTCAGCAATCCCATCGCATAACTTGATGCAAATTATAACTACTTCAGTAAACTAGAATAATAATTTTATTAATGATAATGATGAGGAATATCATGTGCAGACTACTTTATCTCTTATTTACCTTTTGACTCTGGGACTCTTGAGTTTCTTTCCAAAGCTCTTACAGAAGTTATTAAATTGGGCAAAATCACTTTTGACATCGAATTTCAGTCTTTAGGATCCCTAGGAAAGAGGCACTCATAAACTTAGTCATAGTCAAAGGTGTATGAAAGTTTGCTTAACCAAAGGATTTACATTAGAAGACACAGTCAGTAGGTTTTGGTTTTTCTCGTCGCGTTTTTCCTTTACCAGACTCTTGGGGGAGAATAGATTCACTATTACGGGGTGGGAGTGGGGGGATTCTTCCGGGTCCTTGCAAGGGTGGTGGTCCTCTCTGGACGCCAGAAGAGGGAAATGAAGGTGCAGAAGACTGGCCTAGGACCCGGCATTACTCTTTGCATTTCACTTGTTTCTTCACTCCTTCGGTCAGTCCTCCGCCCTTAGGTTAGACTCCGGAAGCTTTCCGGAGCGCTCCCAGCCCGCTCCCACTTTAAGCTTCCAAATCGGGATTTCAAACTACATTTCCCACAACGCCCCGCGCCAACCAGGCTCGCAGAGGGTTTGCCCTAAGTTGCCGTTGTAGTTAAAGTTAACCAAACTCAATTTCAGGGAAGAGATAAATTATTATCTACACATTATATAGTGTGCTTCTTTTTATTCTCTACATACGACCCATTATGTTCAGTGAAGAGCCCTCTGTTGAGAGAAATTCTTTCAGGCTATTGTTATAGCCACCCTCCTCTTTCTGCCTCGGCCCCTGTCAGGTCCCCGGGGGTCCTGGGAGTGTCATTGGGGGATGACCGCAAGCTTAGCCTCTGCAGCTGCCACCGCCACCATGGTCTCCGGCAGCAGCGGCCTAGCCGCCGCTCGCCAGCTGACGCGCGCCTTCCTGCGTGAGTCGGGCGGGGGCTCTGTCTTTCTGACCTCCGTGCTTCCTGGCCCCGCCGAACATAATGTCCAGGCTCAGGCCACGGCTGTCCCTCCGGGGCGGAACCTTGGCCTGGGCGAGGAAGCCACTGGGGGCCCGAACCTCATGTGGACCCTTTTAGGGTGGAGGGAGTTTTGCTGGATAGGTGGACCAGATGGCCACCTGGGTGGCTTAGTCAGGATTCGGGTCTAGGAGCTTAGTAGACCTGGGATCATGCTTTTGCCTCCATGGTGACAAGTGGCGAGTTGGAGGTGGCGTCTAGACTGGCCCTATTTGGAGCTAAAGGTGAAGAGGTCTAGATAAACTCAGTTGGGAGAGTGAATGTCTGATTTTGAGAGGTAGGGGAAGAGTATGTCGGTAGGAAATTGGAGAATTGAAAAGAATTCGAATTGTTCGTTCTGTGGATTGTAGGGTCAGCGGAAAGGCGTTTTCTGCATCCCGAGGTAACAGAGGCTGGGATGGCAGGGATTTTAACCAACTTATTTGCGCTGTCTCCATCCGGCAGTATGCACACTTCATTTCACTTCCTGAAAATTTATCATTCAAGGTTGCTAGTCTGAGTAATGCTGACTGTTGAAAATTCTTGTCAGGTTCAAAGTCTGTGTTTGGTTGATGGGTGATTGTAGAAAGAAACTTTAGAATCAGTCACATCAGGGTTTGGCTAGTCTCTTTACAGTGTGTGTTATGACTCTAGGTTTTTTTCTTAGTAGTTTTTTCAACCAATGTTTCAAACCACGTGCCAATAATACCATATTTTAATGGATTTGAGGCATTGCCACTTATAAGGTTCACCATTATTTGGCCTACTATTAAACAGTGTAAACAATTGCTAATTGAAATTGTGAAGTGATTGCTTATCAGATACATCTTAACTTAAAAGATGTTAAAAAGTGGAAAAACTGTGTTTGAGAAATGATAATACATAGGATGATTTGTGTTCACTGCAGAATTTATATGAAGGACCTCATTTAAACTAGACATTCAGTTAAAGTTTTTCCTTACTTCTTGTTTCCACCTTGCTTCTGACTTAATTCTTTTCTTGAGAAGATTGTATTCTAAAAATGTGCAATAACGAGTGTGTACTCAAGAGCTACACTTAGTTACCAAATTGCTTGAGGACAAAGGTCTGGCTAGATAACTTTGGCAGGTAGGAAAGAGTTGGGTTTATTTGGAAAAGTTTTATGGAATTCTTAGGAGTGATGTTTTAGGCAAAAGGAAAAACAAACAAAACAACAACAACAACAAAAAACCCAAAAAAGATGTACCCATTAATATCTCTGCTCAGTGGAGTGTGAGCACCAAGATTGAGGTCAGATTGGATATAGGCCTAAATCAGCTTAATCTTCATTGGTTATGGGTTAGGATGTAGAAGGCCAGATGTGCAGCACAGCCACTGTGATAGGAAAACCCAGGAAGGAATTTGCCCACAGGATGTCTTTTTCTCTTGAGGTCTTGCTGGTCTGAGGGTCTGAAAGATCATACTCTTTAGTAGGTCTGTTGTCCTAACAGGAAAAAGAACATAGAGGAAAAAAAGAAAGTGTGTCTAAAAGATCTGGTTCCTCAACCCACCCTAGCAGCACTTAACAGTGAACTGAATTTTCTTCCTAGATCCTTTTTGAGACCATCCCATCTAGCTTTCTGTTGTTGGAGTGCTTGAATCATCTAAATCATGGGAACTGTTTTTAAGGCCCTGGGAGGTCTTAGATCTAAACCAAGATACCTCCTATATTAGAGGTGAGGTTACAAATGGCAGTGTTTCTTGTATAAAAACCTCTAAGTCAGTATGCCATATTTCTAAGCCTATTTTCATTCCCACTGGGAAAATAGCCACAACATCACCTGGCAAACTTTTTTCCCCCCCCTTCATTTTTTTTTTTTTTTTTAATGGTCATAAGTCTGAGGTTAAAAGAACTAGAGATGCCAGGGAATTTTATTCCCTGTCTCTTAAGTTTCAATTGGTAGCGCATTACAGCTAAGGTCATATAATTGCAATATTGATTTTCGTTAAAAAAAAAGCACTCATAGATGCCTTCCAGATCCCTGTTGGAGGGGCAAATTAGAATGTTTAGAAATTCCTGTACTAATCCCCGACCCCCTTCAGTTTTATACCTTATGATAGAAAAGAAAGTTGAAGTGTGAAGAGAAAATAAGATGAAAGAGAAATATTTCTTCTATAAGAAAGCTTAAAAATTTTGTAGTACTTTGAGGTTGAAATAGTGAAGTTTTTAAAAAGAAGTACAAAATCAGGTCAGGAGTTCTTTTTAGAATATATAGGAAATGAGAGCAATTATTTTCCAGTCTCAGAATTATATTTTAATGTCAGAAAGTGAATCTTAAAATTCAACTGGTTCCACATCTTTGTTTGGCAAATGAGGAAATAAATCCAGAAGGTTTCCTATGCAGTATCAGAAGGAGTACTAGAACTTGCAGTCTGTCCTTTCCACTTTTGTGGGCTGTGTGATAGTTTGAGCCTCCTTTTTGAAGCTCTGATGTTTTGGGGGAGGGGGTATTCTCAGTGGTTTGTTGAAAAGGTCACAACCCTGCTCAAAGGTACCACTTAACTTTTCATGTGTTTGTCAAATTGTATAGGTCTGTTTTTTTGAATTGGGGGAGCATTTAAAAGTGTAGTTTAGAAAAGGAGATACTCACAGTAATGTTTCTGATTCTAATATTTTTTCCCATTTTTCTCTATGAACCAAATCTTTTATTTCAGAAAGAAAAAAAAAAAGATGCAAAAGTGTAATGTAGCCATGAAAAAGTGATTTGATTTTCCCATCTCAAACTTGTTTCATAGAGAATATTGAAAATCATCTTCTTAAATATAAGGGAACAATTTTATTTCACCAGAGGATAGACATTTTGTTATCTTAGACCCACATTTTTTTTTCAATAATTGCTTTATTAGTACAGAAGAACCCTCAATAGAATTTACATAGTGAAAAAAGTTGTTTTTACCCCCAAAGTGAGAACAATTATTCTTTATACAGCAAAAGAGAAAGATGAAAATCCCTTCATGTTATAACTCAACTTTTTATTGGAGCATTACATTTAAGACATTAAATTATAAACTCATGGTACATTTGGAAATTAAATTACAAAATAATAAAAGTATTTTTAAGGTGTGATGTGCCAACAAATTTTAAATTTTTATCATTAAGATTTAAATTTCAGTTTCAGATTAGAAAAACAGTTTGGTTGATTTTGTAGTGTGTATAAAGGTTAAAAGGACAGGGAAGAAGAACATGTCTGTAAATAAATTACTTCACAGAAAATTTTTTAAATCAAAAAAGATCATTAAGTTTTTTCACAAATTAATGTTAAACCTGTTGGCATGACATACAGAAAATACTTACATGATGAGACCCTTTTTTGTTTAAGCCATCAGCAGCTTTACTAACAGTAATACTTCTTTATGTATATATTAAAGTAACAATGTGTTACAGTTTAGCAATTATATATATTAAAGATTTGAAAATTAATGTAGAGATCACCACTTATTTGCACATTATAATTCCCACCCCACCTCCCCTAGCTTATTAAGAAATCAAACAAGTACATTATTTGGATACTAATTTATCAATATTTAAACTATATGAATTATATGAATTCCTTTTGACTAATTCTTTTATAAATACTAGGAGCATATAAAATACCATCTCTACAAAAATGATCTCCAATCAAAATCTGTAAAAAAACTTTTGAATATAATACATTATTTTTCCATGTTTAGTCAAAAGAAATATATCATTTACAAAAATATTTAAATCAAAAAGTTAAGCCAATATGAACATTTGTCTTTTGAAAAGTAATCTTTACAGCAAACAAATCTACTGAAGCAGATATCTAAATTGGGGAATGTAATTCATACTGTAGTTCATATACTTAAGTGCTGAAACAGAAATCTAACATTAAATATTGCCAGTAAAACAACTATACACTAAGAAAAAAAAATCACTGTTTTTATTTCTTGTGCTGATGAACCCTTACTCTTACCAAGAGATACCTTCCTAGGTCTCCAAATAGTGAACCACACAACTTCCCAGAAATAAAACTTTCCTAATTCACACACCTCTTCCAAAGCTTATAGTTCAATATACACAAATTCCAAAATTTAACTAAAGAAACAAATTATAAACACATCATTAATACATATTTAAATATGCTCTCAATATAGAAGTATTTTCTTTAATAAATCCTGGGTTGTCCTCTAGAAGTGACCTGTCTCATATAAAAAAGGCTGTGATCCCTTGGTTTTGCTGGCAGAAGAGGTACTGCATGCATGACAGAATTTATCAAACATAATCAAATACTTCCCAAGTCTAAAGCAAATTAAGTTATTGATGTTCTGAAGATTTCCCCAACTTTTGATACAAATGTCAAAACTTTAAAATGGTGATTCATGTTCAGAAGAGATACAAAATATAAGAAACCTTTGAAAAGCCATTACCTCAAGATCCAGAGTCATCTGAATCACTATCATGGAGTAAAAGAAACTAACACCATAAAAAGTGTGAAAGGGTTTTCAATTCATTTTTAAGACTGTTAGTAGTTCAAAACCTCTATCATTTCTTTAACAAACTAACACTTCCAAATATGTAGAGACAGTAAGATCTGCCACATATAAATCTATAGATCCACATTTTTTTACGTTATTAAATTTCTAAAATTAGGATGTATCTTGTAATTGATGTTATCTTACCAATATTGGCAGTATTTTTTCTTTTTTACTAGTACTGTTAGTAGTGCTTTGTGAAAACCAGTGATGTTTTAGATTTGATGAAATATGGTATTTACAATCAATGAATATATAATTTTGTATTTGAATAGTAGGTTGTTTGGATTTGGGGGTAAGTGACAGCTAAATTATGCTGCTGTATTTTAGGATACTATACGTGGGAACCACATGAGCCTGTAAATTACATATACATAATACATATGGTTAATGCTATGATTTATACACATTTGAGTGTATCCCCCAAGCATTCATGGGCCAAATGCTCATTCCCCAGTGTGGCCATGTTGAGAGGTGGTAGCACCTTTAAGAGGTTAGGACTATTTGAAGGTAGCTAGGTCATTGGGGGCACCACCCTAAGAATAGATTAATGTTAGTCTCCTGGAGTGAGTTCTTGAGACAATGGATTATTATAAAGCAAAGCAACCCTGTGTGCTTAGCCCTTTCTACATGGGGCTGTTTTCCTTCTTTCTTCTCTGCAATATTATGATGTAGCCAAGGGAGCCTTTATCAGAAGCATAACAAATGAGGAGTTTTAGAGTGGAGTTTTGGCCACTGTAAGCTAAGTAAGCCTCTTTTCTTTATAAATAGCTAGCCTCAGGTATTTTATTATCAAGAAAATGGGCTGATACAGTTAATAAGTATACATTTGTTAAATTTATGAATATATGCATAAATAAATTAGTAACACAGACATAGTTTAAGTCGTGAGTTAGAGAAGGAGTATTTTCACTAACAGAATCTCAGGTTACCAGTTAGGAGCATGGTACTAGTCTATACAAGGCCATGGTATTTGTTTAGCCATAGATTGCAATATTAATCCCACCATACATCTTTTAAGTGGTTGCTATCTAGGGGAAATAGGACTCAGTTATGCCTGATATAAATTCACCACCCCGGTTGAAAGCACATCTCTTGCAGGCTACTCAGTCCCTTTATTTCAGCATCTTTTTTGCAGGTTGTGTTTTTGTAACTTTGTATTTCTTTGTTAACATTTAGCTATTACACAGCAAGAAACTTCAGGTGGATAGAGCCCTACCTAGTCTAATTTACTCATGAATCCCTAGCACATGGCAGATAGCTTGCCACCATGAACATTTCAAAACAGTTTTATCTGCTCATTTTTTATCAGTAAAAAATAATGATAATAAAATAAGCCATTAGTGATATAGCATTTAACTGTACTCTAGGTGTTGTTTTACATGTTCTCTATATTAACTCATTTTAATTCTTACATTGGCCAATGTGGTATATATTATCATCCCCATTTTTAGCATGAGGCTGCACCTTAAATATGTTTCCTAATTAAAAACTTACAAATATATTTGTGTGTGCTACACATATTTATATTTATACATAAACATTTGTATATAGAGTGTATGTGAGGACATATTTAGAACATTGCTGGTTGGACTTATTTGATTTTAAAATATGAACTATATTTTTTCTCTTTTTAGGAAAAGATTTACCTTTGTGCTCATGTAGGATTTTGGGAGTGTACCAAGGCACTTTGATTCTCAATCTTCAGGCATCATCTCATATTAAGATCACAGTCTTCTTGTGGGCAGCTGTTATTCCATTTACAGATGGGAAGACCAAGGTTAAGGGAGATCAAAAGATATGCCCTGGGTCACATTGCTGGTGAGCTGTAGAGCCTAAACGCAAGCCCTGGCCTGTCTGATTCCTGAGATAATGTTCTCAGCTGCTCCTGGGTCACATTACCAAGGTTAGGCTGACCAGTTTCTAAGAATTTGAAGAGAAGGTGATGCTAGTTTATCCTCTAAAGTTGACCCAGAATGTGGCAGCTATAGCCCTGACCATCAGAATATAACTGGTGGCCAAGTTCAGGCCTTGCCCTGATATTTAATTTAAAATGCTTATTTTCTCATTATTAGTAAAATTAGACGTCTCATCATATGTTGATAATACCATTTGTCATCAGTTATGTTTCTTGTTTATGGCCTTTATTGGTTTGTCTGCTAGCTTAGGGCAAGTATAATCTTTGATAGCACTGACTGGGTGGGCCCTAGTGTACAGATGTGTGGGGGCAGTCTCTTAGGCCATAAATACTATTGTGACCTAGGGTCAGGTGCTTGCTGTGTCCACTGTGCCAGTTCTTGACCCCCCCATGTCCTCCACCCCACACCCCTGACACCCATTCCTCAACCCCTGCAGCGTAGTCTAGTCTAAGAATAAAGCTGTTACCTAGTAGTTCCGTGTGCACACAGAACACTCCTCTTCTGGATGGTAAGAGTGAAAGCTGGGTCTTTCTGTACCCTACAGGTGTGGGGACTCTAGGTACCTCTGCTGGAAGCACATATCAATGTTCTTTTAGTTGTGGCACCTGAAGTCTGAAGATTTAGGAGGCATGAGGTAGCCATTTATAGTGATTCAAAGCAGAAAGCATTGGGTGGGTCCTGGAGAAAAATATGATAAGATATTTTTTGTTCTGGAGCTAGCTTTCTTGGGCTACTCAGCAGTAGATAGAAGGCTTGGCTACTTTGAAAGTAGCCCTTGAGTGGTGGGTTGGTGGTTCTAGTGGAGGTTTAGAGGGTAGCCCACAAATTTAAAGTAACGTGTGCCTTTTCCTACTAATTTTTGAAGTGGGAGGAGTTGTTGTTGTAAGTTTTCCTTGAGGTAGGATACTGAAAATTAAGTACTTTTTTTTTTCTTTTTAAACAAGTTTCTTCTTCTCTCATCTACTTTTCTATTTATTTTCCCTGTTTCTTCTATAGTGGGTTATTGAATCTTGCACCACAAAAGATCAATTTAGGTGATTTTGCATTATATTTTAGACAAGCTTTATTCTACACCTTAACATTTAATATATTGTTATTGGGGAATGAGCATTAGAATAGTTCTTATTCATAGTTTGTGACAAAATTTGCCTCTTAGCTTACTTATTATTTATAGGTATTAGACTTTTAAAAGTTAGGTCCAGTGAGAGCTTGTGACTATTTTGTAAACATTATTAGTGGGGATAATAACTAGTTTCCTTCCCTGGGTTTAATCTGAGTCATTAGTCTTTGAACCTTAGTTTTCTTTCTAAGGAATGAAAATGAGAAACTTCATCTTTTCTTTTTAAATTTCTTTTTCAAGATTGTAGCTTTTTCTTGATAAAGAGAAGATCCTGGAGAATAGAGTAGGGCCTTTTTTGTTTGTTTTTATAATTTATTTATGTAGTCTGTGTGTCTCATTTTAAAGGTGACATTTAACTTTACCATAATGACAGTACAGCTCTTGCATTAGAGATTTTGTGTGTGTGTGTGACCGAGTTAAATTCATTGTTCAAAAGTTTGGAAAAATTCTAATATGTCATATTTTCTTTACTTCTCAGTGCAACAGAATGCAATTCGGCATTGTTCCTATACAGCTTCCCGGAAACATCTCTATATTGATAAAAATACCAAGGTCATTTGCCAGGGTTTCACTGGTAAGCAGGTATGTGTGTGTAGATTTTTATTTAAAGTGTAGATTCAAAAATATAAAATAATTTTGCTACTTTCTACTTTATTTAAAATTGATTCACTCAACAAGTTTTTGTTTTGTGTGTGTAGGTGGTGTTTTTTTTTTTGTTGTTGTTTGTTTGTTGTTATAAGGAATAGAATCTAGGAGCACTTTACCACTGAGCTATATCTCCAATTCTTTTATTTTGAGACAAGTCTCTCTAAGTTGCTGAGGTTAGCCTCAAACTTGTGATCCTCCTGCCTTAACCACCTGAGTTGTTAAAATTACAGCGTGCACTGGCTGCTATTTTCTACCTGTAATAATATATGATTGATGCAGAAAAATTTGTTGTGCAGAAATGGGATTGTATCTTAGGAAGAGGTGCCATAGTTAGCCTGTAAGATGAAAATTGTGTTTAAACTTCCTTGAAAATGCATAGAAGTAGGCTATGTTGGAGACTCAACACCCTATTCCTCCAGTGTTGAGAGAGGTCACTGTAGATTGCTTGTGACTAGGTCTTAAACAAGATAAAGTAGATTACTTGTGTCTAGGTCTTTGTACACAGAAATATCCATTTTTAAACATGAAATCCACATTCAGTGTGAAGAAGTACATAAACCCAGGGAGCCTTTTAGAAACAGGCAGAGGAACCAGCACACTGACTTTTTCCTATGTTATAATCTCTCTGGCACAAACTTTCATCAAAGAAGTCAGTAGGCAGAATTGCTTACAGTATTTTAATTTGTTTGCCACTTATATTTAGACTCTCTCCCTCTTCCCTGCTTATATCATGAATTTAAATAAATCTGTGATGTGATTCTGTAATGAAATACAACATAAGAATCTCTTCTTCTCCTTTCTTATGGTTCTACTCACCAAGAATTCCTTCTGTAAATAAGTTGGTCTGTGTTCTTCCAGATATTTTTCTTAAAAATACAAACATTTATACCTATATTATTTGTATTTTACAGAGTTTATATTACAGAACTGTGTATGGGTATAGCTGAATTCCAATTAAACTTAATTTGTAAAGCCAGATGGCAGGACAAATTCCACAGACCATAGTTTGTCAACCCTTATCTAGAGGGTGATATCTAAATAGCCAGACATTTTCTGAGTATCACTTCTACATATACATTCTAAGGGACGTAGATGCTCATGATTTGATTTTAATTTGTCATTCTCTTCTAAATTACATTCAGTCTATTTTTGCATATATATTTTATCTCTCTCTCTATATATATTATTAGCATATAATCAAATGCTTGATAAACACAAATTTCTCACTTAAGTTAATAATACATATTTTGTTTTTCTATTTACTAAACTTTGTGTGATCTTATTCCATTTTGACCTCTGAGCTTTTTTGGTAAGAACATTTCCTATGGTATAAGTACTATTTGGAAACATGTTTACTTTCTAAAGTAGGTAATGATTTACCTAAATATTTAAAACTAAGGTCATTTTCATTATCTTTCAGTTACCTGCAATCAGATGTTTCTCACTCACTTTCCTAGTTTGGGGTTTTTAAAGTGATTGAGAGCCTTAATTGCCAGTTAAATTTGTTGATTGAAATTCTATTATTATAGAGGTTATAATAAGGTGTGAAAGTTAGAGCTTACCTCCACTGGAAAAGGAAGTCTTCAATTCTCTTTAGTTCTTTCTTTAGTACACACATTGTTCCATATATGAAAGAGTATTGTTTGTTTTATGGAGTAGATTCTAAATAAGTTGGCCTGTGCAGTGCACATTTCTAATGGGTACCATCTGATTTCTCTAGCTTTTATGAGCAAAATAACTCCTATTCTTAACTGTACACTGGATGCTGTTAATGGAAAATTAAGGAAAGTACATTACGTATTAAATGGATATGCTTTCTGTTTAGCACCATTTTTAGGCCTAAAATTTTGGTTAATTTGAATTTACCTAGTAGTGTAGACTAGGACAGTGCTTCTCAAAACTATCTGAAGTAAAAGATTGGTTTAGGTGGTCGTTTTTAATTTCTATCTGATGTGGACCAGTACTTTTGTAAAAATATAGTAAGAGTTGCAGCAGTGTCACACTGCTATGTTTACATTTTCTTTAAAAAAATTTTTTTTTAGTTGTTGATGTACCTTTATTTTATTTATTTATATGCAGTACTGAGAATTCAACCTAGTGCCTCATGCATACTAGGCAAGCACTCTACCACTGAGCCACAGCTCCAACCCTTAAAAACATTTTCTGTTTTACTTTTTTAAAAAAAATTATTTATTTATTTATTTTATACTGGGGATTGAATGCAGGGGCGCTTTACCACTGAGCTATATCCTCAATCCTTTTATAATTTTTTGTTTTGAAACAGTGTCTCACCAATTTGCTTAGAGTCTCACTAAGTTTTTGAGGCTGCCCTCTAACTTGGGATCCTCTTGCCTCAGCCTTTCTAGTTGCTGGGATTACAAGTGTGCACCACCTTGCCTAGATTTTTATTAGATTTTTAATTTTCTCTTTCCCTCCCTTCCTTCCTTGGATCATTTTCTTTTTCTTTTGTTTTGCTTTTGCTTCCTTGCATACTAGCAAGAGTCTGCACATAATACTTTAAATAGCATTGTTTTAAGAGAAAGAACACTGGCCTGTTGTTCTTTCTAAGACTCTGTCACTTTGTTTAAGTTTTATTTCTTAAAAAATTAAGAACTTGAATAGTTGGCTCAGCATTTTTAAGTCCCTGTAGAATGACCAGACAGATTCATTTACTTTTCAATAACTATTTATTGAGTACCTGCTGTATGTAATTTAAGTGCCTTGTTTCAGTGAACAAAATAGAATTTTTTTTTTATGGAATTTAATTTACAGTTGAGAGAAATTCGTCAATGAAATCCATGAGTGAATTTTGTGGTCTGTTAGAAAGTATTAATTGCTATGGACAAAACAAACCAGAGAAAGGAAAGTGTATGTGGAGCTGTGGTTGGAATGGGGGAGAAGGAGATTTTTACAGTAAGTAGTCAGGGATAGCTTGATTTCAGGGATAGCAAGATCTAAAGATGATGTAGAAGTGAACTGGTTGGATAGGTAAGGAAATGTATTCCATGGAGAGAGCATAGCAAGATCATTAGGCAGACATAGCCTGCCATGTGTAAGCTATAAGGGCAGTGTGG